AAACAAGAAAAAAAAAAAAGAGAACAAAGAATACAGTGTTTCTCTTCCTCCCTCACTTTACAGCAATCATACAAAATATCATAATGTAAGTAGTTGATGTTAGTTTTAATCACTTCCTTAGGAAAAAAAAAGTTGTTAATTTAATTAGTTACACTTTTATAATATAGTAATAAAATTGCAATAAATTAGATTATAAATTATTTGAATAGGATATTTTTCTCAACTAATTTAAAATTATCCTAACTTATCAAAGTGTTTTAATGTGACAAAACATTTGTTTAAAATTGAGAGAATATCATTGATTTCATCTATCGATCGCTAAAATTACTAATATATTTATCTTTTTTAATGGCATGTAATAGTGAAAACTGAAAAGTGTTAATTTTTTTTAAGTAAAATTAATTGTTTAAACGAATAAATAAAATAATACTACCTTATTTTTAAGTTTTAAGGCGTGCTTCTGAATATGTTATAATACTTAATTGATTTGTTATTTATAAAAAGTTGAATAAATTTGTTAGATTTGAAGAGCTGGGAGTTCTGATGTACTAAAAAAATTATAAAACTTACAAATTTGTTAGTAAGCACCTTATTTTCAAAATATAAAACTAAAATAAGGATCGTTAAAAAAATAACCGTTTTTGAAGTGAGGAGAAAACCCGCCAACACAAAAATATCCGGACACATTATTTTAAAACCTCTTAATTACCTCTGTTCCAATAATTAAAAATAATTAAACCACAAGTTTAGTGATGAATTTTCAAAATGGTATTACTTTGACTTAAATTTGTATCCTGCCATCTTTAAATTTAGATCTAATTTATATCTAATACATCCATAAAGTTTAAAAGTATCTAATCCAATTCTTGAAATTTTTAAATTTGTATTTAATAGATACTTAGTTTATTAGACATTTAAAGAATATGCATGAACATATTACACGAAGTTGAAAGGTTAGAACATGATAAATACCTTGCACTCAATAAAGTCCAAATATGTCATGACGTCCTTATATTAAACACAAAATTAAGATTTCAGCTCTCAACGTATGAGACACTTTTTAGATGCTATAAACCCATTCAAAAGTTAAGAGTGAAATATATTTTTTTTTTTGTCAATATTTAAGAAATAAAAGTGTAAAAATTGTTAACATGAACTTAATAAAAGACAACTAACTTCTTCTTGGAAACTCACAATCTTTGTCCTGAAAAGAAAAACAAAAGTGTGAAAATTATTGGAGGGAGGCATAGGAGGTGAAAGGAATTTAGAAATAAAACAAAGGAAAAAAGAGATATGACGTATGGAAATGATATTAAAACTTTCTATGAGTTGCCTCGTTTGGTTGACGTGGTTGTGTTTCGATAGGCCCTCTCTTTATATATTCTTCGGCCCCTACTCCTTCACAGCCACCATTAATTCTCTCCTCCTAAAAAATATGGCCGTCTGCTCCGACAATCACTATGATCCACTATCGCCACCGCCGGCACCTCTGAGCAGGTACGAGTCGCAGAAGCGGCGGGACTGGAACACGTTCGGGCAGTACCTGAGAAACCACCGCCCTCCGTTGACGCTGTCGCGGTGCAGCGGGGCCCACATTCTGGAGTTCCTCCGCTACCTGGACCAATTCGGGAAGACCAAGGTCCACGCGCCGTGCTGCCCCTTCTTCGGGCAGCCCCACCCGCCGGCGCCCTGCCCCTGCCCTCTCCGCCAGGCCTGGGGCAGCCTCGACGCCCTCATAGGCCGCCTCCGCGCCGCCTTCGAGGAGAACGGCGGCCCCTCCGACACCAACCCCTTCGCCACGCGGGCGATCAGGCTCTACTTGAGGGACGTCAGAGAGTCGCAGGCCAAGGCCAGAGGAATCGCTTACGACAAGAAGAAGAAGCGCGGCCGTAACGCTAACACTAACACTACCACTAACAAGCCCCTCCGCCACCACCTCGACCTTCATTGATTATTTCTCCTCCTTTTTGTTTTATTTGTTGTATTCTAATTAATTATAATTTAATTTCCATCCCACCAGACTTAATTACAACATTTCTCCGGTGGATTATTATTGATACCTCAACTTGTTTAATTAATTATCACTTCGAACCCTAAAATTAGTAACTATTTTGGTTCAGTTACCCCCTTTGCAAATTGCGGTCTCTATTTGTTGTTTATATAATTAACTCGGTTGTGATTATCAAAAAGCCTTTAACCCTTTTTCGAATTTCTAATTGAGAGTTTTTCCGTATCCTGAATCCTGCAATATTAGTAAACCTAATTCTTTCTTATCAAACAAAAAAACTTCACTTATTATTTCAAAATTCGTATCTTTTATTTATAAATTTTAATTATACTTGTTATTCCACAAACTACTATTAGAACGTGCTGGAAATCGAAAAAAAGTCTCGTGATACTCCACAAATATTGTTTTATTAAATTAAATTATGTTGTGTTATTTACATATTTTAATGAAATGTATGTATTTTATAATCTAAATGTTTGTATTCTATGCTTGGTATGAATGCTATACCATTGATATATATGATTTGTTATACTACTTAAGAAAATCGATAAAACTAATATATATGATTATGAGTATTGATATACTAACTATATGAATGTTGATCGACTATACTATTATATACTCAATTTGATGTATCATTCATACATTTGATTTAATATACCATTGATATACCGTAAAATTTGAAAGGTAAAATCGAAATAACTAAAAAAAATAGAAAACCAATATTTTACCATATTTACAAGACCCAAAAGGATGTCGCAGATTTAAAAATATGACAAATATTTTAGTTATTTATTATAAATTAGGGATGTATTATATATTATGAGCATGTCCACTTCATTATATTAATTAAACTACATTTATTGTAAATTCCCTCGTTTTATCGATGAATTTATTTTAATCAAAACTAAAGTGGAAGAAATATATAATAATAGCAATATTTTCTCAAAAATTAAAAAAGTGGGTCTTTAATATAGAAATAATGGTTTCCATTATTGTAGATTGACAAAAGAAAATCCACTCAGAGCAAGTTTCTACGGAGCTGTGTGTGTCACTTAGTTTGCAGACATCTTTTTATATCCACACATATTCATTCAATTTATAACCTTATATTATATCATAATTGTATTATTTCTTTTAATTATAACCCCTTTTTGGTCACAAAGTTTGCGGTGGAGGATCCTTCAAATATTGTATTTTATTCTCCATCTTAACATTTATTATTTTAATAGTGCTACACATTTCCATCATTGCCCCGTCCTCCCCCTTATATTAAATTTAATATAATAAAATTTTCTATCTAGGTCAAGATTTTAACGATAAATCCGAATGAATATTTATAAAATATTTTTGAAGATAAAAATAATTTAACAGTATAAAGATTAAGGCCCTCAGCTTTAATGTTTATTTTATTTTGATTATTGAACTTACTATGCGAAGTCTCACAAATATTTACTTTAATCCTTACCATTAATTTTTCATAACGTAACGTAAGATCTTTATGTCTACCATCTATTTAATTTGATATTAAAAGAAGTAGTTCTAACTCAGAACACATGATATAAAATGCTGAAAATTTTATCCTAGTGATAGAATTAAAATAAAATATTTAAACCACTAAAATTAAATTAGAATTTATCATATTTATTTGTATCTTTCATAATTAGAAATACACGTAAAGTTTATTTATGATTAGAATATTAGACTAAGTCCACCAAAGGCTGCCATTATGGATAGGCTAATAATATGCAAGAAAAATGGGGGGTTCTTTTTTTTTTTTTTTTTTTCATTTTTGGGAATTTTGGTATTTTAAACAAACAGATGAGATAAAACAAAAATGAAAGATAAAAGGCATTTGTGAGGCTACTATTTTCGGGATTCGATTTACAGAAGTAATCATTGCCTTGGAAGAAAATGGGCTTTTTTCTTTAACAAAAATAAAAATAGATATTAATTGTCCTATCTCTTTAATATGCATTAAAATAAGTGCTATCATATTCATGTCTATTCTTACATTTCTCAACTTATTCATCATTATTTTATGCATCTATCTCTCTACTCCTTTTTTCTTCTCTCGCTAAAATAATTTTTCGTTTTATGTGTTTTAATTAATTTATTTAAACCTGTTTTGATTTTCGTGATTTATTTTCACATATTTGTAAGTTTGTACGATCTTCTTCTTCATATCTTTCTTTCCTCCAGTGGTGTCGGTGTAAAAGGTAAATATAAAATTTGAAATTTCATAAAATTGAAAAAGTGTCGCAGTGTATCAATTTAACTCAGATAAAAAGCAATTGGGTCAAATCTCCTTAACTCCCTTTAGGATGAGTTCATGCTCATTTCTAATCGTGGAATGTGGATACGACAGCATGAAATATCTATCGGTTATTAGCAAGAAAACTAGAACACCAAAATGGTAGTGTATAACATTTTTTGATTCCCTTATAAAAACATTCTCTATTATTCACAAAATACTCAATCTATACACAATCTAACTAACTAAATTCGGTTCCACACTAACTCAAATTAAGTTCTAATTTAAGTTTTAAGATGGACATGTAGTCGAACACCACGCATTGACACAATATTCTATTTTCAAATTGTAAGCTCAATTGATTTAAAATTCATCTGAGTTTGAGAGTTGACGTACGTGTCACCTGTACTCGCACTAACAAAATCAAAATTTATGATTATCTGCTAAAATTTTAGTGTAAGATTAATCTTTTAAATGATCATTTTTATTTTATTTTATAAATTTTAAGATATAGCTGAATTTGCATATTAACAAATTGAAATGTATGAAGTCAAATATTCCAAATATATCCCATTTTTTAAAAATAATATTTCGAGGAAAAGAGATATTTTTAACCATATAATTGGGGAAACATTACCATTTTTAAAACTCATTTTAAAAATACTCTCAACCTAAAATTTATTTTGTAAAGTAATGCATTTTTAATTTGAACTAAAAGAAATACTGAGATAATTACACTTTATTAATTCAACCAATAGACAATTAAATTTTGTTTAATATTAAAAACAAATAATAATAATAAGTTTCATGCAGGGTTCATAATCTTTGTGAAGGATATTGAAGCAGTTAGTAGAGGGTAGAGGGTAGAGGGCAGTTGGTGAGATATGGTCCATTAAAAAAGAAGAACAAGCCCAGCTGGTCCTGCCTTTATGAAGCAAATCAAGGTGGGTTGGGAGATTTTATTTTATTTTAGAATTAATGCCCATACTTTATGTCGTCACCATTCAAATTATTCCACACCTAATTTATAACTATATAACTTGAATTGAAAACTTCAGTATAACTCAAGTCATTAGTTGAGATATATATTCCCAACTAAAAAGTTCGTGACTATCCTCAAATATTTATGATTATTTGTCTACGTGAATGTCTTTTATATATATATATAGACACACATGGAGGTAGTTTGGCCTCAATTTTAAACTTACTATTTATTTATTTCACTGTATTTGTTAATATGAGCACAATTTAATTGGTCAAAATATTACTTTTAAAAAACAAATCAACTCTCCCAAAGAGTTAGTCAGCGCATATTTGACTCTCCCAACCTATGAATCATGATGAGTATTTTTCGACTCACGAACGTTGTTGTCTCATTGCATGAATTGAAGTGTACTTTACGATTTAATGTTGCTTCCGTCCCATGGGTGAGATTCCCTCGTGGCCACTTACAGCTTTCTCTAATATTTCACCAACTTTGGAATTGATTTTATACTGAAGAGGTTGGATTCCAACCTCAATTGTTAATGTTATCCCTCGTATAAAGTGCCTCTGCAAGTTCAATTGAACCTCTGCATTGCTAGTGTTATCCCCTAGACCCATCAAACAACTTTTTGAATCTTAAAATTTAATTATGTAAAATTTTTAATGTTATTTTATTTAAAATTTTTCTTTATTATCTCTTACAATATTTTATTTTCATTTGTACCCCCTTTTAACGTTTTATTTTATTTTATTTTTTGTTTTGTTTATTGCTTCTGGTAAATAATTTTATTGAACAAAAAAAAAAAATTTGTTGGAGAATATCACTTCTCATAATCTTTTCCATTTCTACCCTGTTCTTTTTCCTATTTGTTTATTACTTATTGTAATTCATTTTTGGAGAAAATAAAAAGAAATAAATATGTATCGGAAAAATCTACATTCTCGACCCTCCAGCTTTTTTCCTACTTTTTGTTTATTGCTTTTCGTAATTCATTTTTTTTGTGTAAAGAGAGAGAAAATATGGGTTGGAAAATCTCATTTATCATTATCCCAAAATTTAAATCACAATTTTAATATAGATTATTAAATAACCGTATAAAGGTTTGGTTTTTGTAAAAAAACGCTAGAAGGAGGGCTTGAACCTCCGACCTTGTGGTTAACAGCCACACGCTCTAACCAACTGAGCTATTCCAGCTTATTGGGATCGATTGGAACAAACATCAATTTACTTATTAGCGTGCTGTCCTCCCATCCTACGATTTGAGTCTTCCTTATCTGGGCCGGCTTCGCTGTCCAGTAAAGCCCAATTATCTGGACCTGCTCGATTTGGCCCAGCTTTTANTAAATGACTGCAGTTCTATTTTGCAATTGACATGTTTTCAAATTGTCCCAAGATAATAAAAATTCCCTAATTTTTATTAACATTGTGTTCATCGCAACTGTATTTGACCTTGTTATAAAAATTGGATAATTATTTTATTTATATAATTAAAATGTAGGCATGGACTGACGCAGGATTTTGACTATCATGTAGACAACTAAAATTGGGAGCTCGCAGATTTTTGGTTTAAGACTGGATTCCTATATAAAACAGTACAATAATTAGGTTTTCTTTTAGTCCAAAAACTTTCATTCCACTGACAATTTAGTCCATGAATTTTATAATAATTTAGTGTATGTAACTTTAAATTCATAACAGTTTAGTCCTCATTAATATGTAACAATTTGGTTTTCGTAGTTTAAAGTTGACAACGATTTAGTCTCTATTGTTATTTTTTTTGTTAAATTTATTATATATATAGATTGATAGACCAATGAGGTTCTAAAATATGTTTATAAGTTACAAAGACTAAATCGTTGTATTATAAAAATTGACACTTAATTTTGATAAGATTTTTCATAGTAGAGACTAAATTGTTAACAAATTTGAACGGTACGACTAATTTGAGGTACATGGACTAAATCGTTACAAACTAAAGTTAAGAAACTGAATCGTTACTTTAATCAAAGTACACGGGACAAATATATTTTTTAACCAATAAAAATTTTAAAAGTATAATCCAATTTCAATTGTTTCGAATGGTTTGTCATTAAAGAGCCTATAATTTTTTGTCCCAATAGAAGTTATAGCAAAACACATAATTATTTAAAAAATATGATTGAATTTAGTTGAGAAGGTAAGGATCTTGAATTAATATGAATCTTATATTTTTAAGTTAAAAAGTTTGCCATTTATGACCATTTCTTTTGACAAGGACCATGTAAAAAGTAAAAGGCAAAATACTATTTTTTTTTAGTACGCAAAGGCATTTTTTAATATTCAAATTCAAATATTTAATCATCCCGTGTCGTTTCGTCCATAAATAAATAATAATAAATTGTTGCCCAACTTTATTATCGTCTATTATTTAAATAAAGTAATTACTACAGAAAAAAAAACAATGTTACATTTTAAATAAGTAATAAAATTTAAAATTGGAAAAACGTATAAAGCTCGTTATAATTGATTTTATGAAGTTTTGAAAAGTTATATTTAAGTCTTACATTCAAATATTGTCGTCAAAAGCTGTTAATGGCAGAAAATAACAATAACTTGTTTTCTTGTTGTCTAACATTTGCATAATTGAAGGCTGAAAATTCATAAAGTAATGTTTGATTTATTATTCTAAAACTAACCTTCCTTCTTTTTCCAATTTTTATGCAATTGATTTACCATAACAAAAAAGTTAGTTGTTATTGTTGCTTTTTCTTTTTTATTTATTAATTTTTAATTTTAAAGAATATTACACCACATAATTTGAAACTTTTAAAAAGTAAATAACAAATAAAAGAAACACGTAGAGATAATATTTATATAAACTAAGATTAACCAACGTAAATAAAGAAAATAAAATAATTATCAAATGAATTATACCTTTTAATTTAGAGTACTTTTAAGTTTAAGTACTTATCCGATACAACTTGGAAATAAATTTGTAATTTAACATAAAATTTTATCTTAAATTTGGAGTGTATCAACATCTACCATAAACTTTCAACTTCATCAAACTTCAACTTAAATACAAAAAAAATATTGTAATATCGAACTCAAGTCTTATAACGCATGACAATTGTTACGTTATAATAGTTATTTTTATTTTTTTTAAAGGATCTTATGATAGACTTATGTTTAAAGGTTTGAGATAGACGTGTAGAATAAATTATATAAAACATATATTTTGTACAAAATTGATAAGCATGTGACTAAATCGATATTAAAGCTGATTTTTCATATTGAGATTTGTAAGCTAGGAAAAATTTAAGATTTGTAGTAGCCATCAATCAAACTTAATTTCGTACAAAAATTGCCTTTAATTAAATTAGTGAGTTTTCTTAAAAGGTAAAAAATCGCAATTAAATAAATGAAAAAATTACAATACTTGTTATATTATATGGTATCCTCAGATATATCAATTATGTAATGGAAATAAAATTTTTGGGACGCGGCTTGAAAGGGGGAGGGGGGAAACACGTGGGCGGTGGAGATGCACAGCCGGACTGGACGTGGTCGCACGCACGCACGCACGCACGTCGCCGGCCGCAGCCGGTTTGGTAGGGGGCACGTGCCGGCACTTTCTGTATCGTCTACGCCATTCTCCGGTGCCGGTGGCGGTTGGACTTCACCAGTCACCAACTTTAATGTCAACGTCATTTTCATTGTCATTGTGAGTTCCTCCGTCTCCATGTTTAATTTAATTATCCGCAATTCAATTCAATTATAATTTAATACCGGGGAATCCTTCCTACTTAAGAATTTACCACCACTTATCTCATTCTTTTGTCCATTCCTGATTAGACTAATCAATTTTTCATTGCGATTCCATACTTTATCCGTTCCTACTTTTTTATTTTTGTTCACTTTTATGGAAAAAGAAGATCACCTGCTGCAACGAATACAAAGAGAGAGAGACTCGGATTGCGGTTTCGACGGTCAACAGTTCTTTTTTGGTCATCTTCTTCACACAGGTTCTTTTCTTTTCTTTTCTTTTCTTTTTTCCTTCTGTTTCGGGATGTGGGTAAGTAATTATTTTTATTTTTATTTACGTTTTTGGGATGGTTTGTTATTTTGGTTTATGTCTGATTATACCTAGTGGGAGACGTTCATCGGAATTGTTATTACTATTTTCTAATTTTGAAGGGGCATCGTTGATTCTATCATTTTTGTTACTACTAGCTGTTTGCCTATTCCGTTTAAACGTTTTCTTGAAATATTTTTTTTGTAGGAGAAATATATGGCTAATCTTAATCATGGGAGCTTGTGATCAATATAAATTGATTTTGGAGGATCTATTCTTTTTAGTGCTAAAGTTTATAAGAAAATCTAATTAATATGTATCATGGAGCTATATGAGTTCTAACTTCTAAGGATATAAATCTAATTTTATTTGTTTAATTCATGTTCTGGTTGTTTGTAAACGACTAATTGAGTCTGAACTTATCTCGCATCCTTACTCTCCCTTGCGAGAAAGTGATGGGTTTCTTTGATACTTACTACAGGGCTGGAGGGTGGGGGAAGAAGAATGTGGTGGATCCAAGTAAAATTTACAGAATATAGTGTTAATAGTAATTTTTTATTGATCATCTATTGTTCTTGCGGGTTTTAGTGCTATGTGGGAGGGAGGTGATATAGGGATGGCTTCTGAATTCTCAATCTATTTCATGTGAGAAATGTCTTTTGTATTGCTCAGTTTCTCTCGGCAGAATTTTTCTCTTTTTGGTACTTTATCCTTTTCAATATTATAAAGCAATGATTAATCTTGTATGCTACGTTTACAAGTTTGCATAATTTCTTTATATAAACAGGTGGAAAAGAATAATGCCCGACTGTGATTAAGAGATTTATTATGGATTCAGCAAGGAGTTGGTTTCAGAAGTTCCATCATAAAGTAAAGAAGGAAACTGAAAATGACAGTGAGGTTCAAGATGTACCTTCAAGTGCAACGAAAGAGAAAGTTGAGGTTGCCAAGCAATATATTGAAAACCATTACAAATCTCAAATGAAGTCATTGCAAGATCGCAAGGAGAGGTATATTTTTTTCTATAAATAATCTGGTTACAGTTGATGGTTCTCTCTGAGATTGAGAAATATAATATTTAGAATACCATATGTGCCCAGGTCATAGTCATATATGTAAATTTATGCATCTACATGTGGGATTATCTGTTTTCTCGACTGACTTAAAAAGTATAATCTTTCTATCCTTCCAGTGGATTATTTAAAAGTTACTTTTGTACCAATAATATTGAAGCGACTTTAATACTAAGTTTTAAATATTAGGAAATCATCAGAATAGCTATTTGGTCGGTTCTAATATTGCTAACATATTTGGCCCTGGAATTGAAGTATCTCTTTTTAGTGCTAATATAGACTTTTGTTGCCTTGTTTTAATCATACTTTCATCATTTACAGACGTTGGGTGTTGGAGAGGAGGCTTGCTGATGCGGATGTTTCTGCAGAAGACCAAATGAACGTGCTTAAATATTTAGAACAGAAGGAGACAGAATACATGCGTCTTCGTAGACATAAAATGGGCGTTGGTGACTTTGAACTTTTGACAATTATAGGAAGGGGTGCATTTGGGGAGGTTTGTTGCAAATGACTTTGTCACGTTATTTGAACTTTAAGTCCCCAGCACTGTTTATGTATAGTTCACTTTATCATCACTTGTTGTTTGTTGCCTAATTTCCTTATATCACGATTCACTGATAGAAACACATAAATTTACATACCCAGGATCTTTGTATGATGGTTATTTTTCCACGTTGTTTTGCAGGTTAGACTTTGTAGAGAAAAAGCCACGGGTCACGTGTATGCAATGAAGAAGCTTAAGAAATCTGAGATGCTTCGCAGAGGCCAGGTATTTCTGAAACCTTGATGCCCTAAATTGGATTCATGATGGTTTAATGTAGTTTCACATATTCTATTTAATGCTAATTCTTCCTTCTGAATTTCAAACCGGCTTGTGTATAGTATACCACTACACGTGATCTGAGCTGGGTGGTGAAGAACTTACCACTCTGTTAAAAACGTATGAGAAATTGGATTCTCTTGTAGAATCCTTTATAGTTATCCCACCATAGGTTTGATGAACTATGTAGGTCATATAACTTGTAGAAAGATGATTTTCTCTTAGCTGGGGCATAGCGGTAAATTGTCTACTAGGTTCAACCAAGTGGTCACTAACTAATACAGAGCATCTTGGAGCATCTACTTCAATCTTGTGACCATATGCTAAATGGTTTGCAAAAAGTCTCCATTTTGATTTAGTAGACATAGGAATTCAGGATGGATTTTTGCATTAAGAATAACAATCTTACACTTTGTGGTATTCACATAAGTACAATGCAATGTGCTTTAAGTAGGGCTTGGATTGGTTATCTTGTCAGGTCCTAAGGGAAAGCAAATAAAATTAAAAGAAGAGAAAGATGGAATAAGTCTCGTTTAAATCTGCAGATATTGGATTTGACTCATGTATTTAATTATATAAATATTTTTTGTAGGTGGAACATGTCAAAGCTGAAAGAAATCTTCTAGCAGAGGTTGACAGTGCCTACATTGTGAAGTTATACTGCTCCTTTCAGGATGAAGATTTTTTGTATCTTATAATGCAATATCTTCCCGGAGGTGATATGATGACCCTGTTAATGCGCAAGGACACCTTGTCGGAGGATGAGGCTAGATTTTACGTTGGGGAAACAGTCCTTGCTATAGAGTCCATTCACAAGCATAATTACATTCACAGGTTTCATGTCTTCTTCTTCTTCGTTTTAAAAACTTTTATAGCTTCCTTATGTCATGGTTTTTTATCAAGCTTCATTTGATCCTCACTAACCGTAGTTGTTCTCATGTGATGTTAATGTATATCTGAAACTATTGAAACCACTTTTTGGTTGCTGCTGCAATCTTTTGAAGTTATTCTTGTCCTCAGAAAACCATTAAAAGAGAAACCTATATAGTTTTCTTACTTTTTTGTTCAGGAAGTGCTGGAAAGAACATAGTATGGCTTAGTATTGATGAGCCATGTTTGATGCCTATAATAAAAGGATTAAGCGTTTGTTTCTCTGAAAAACTGGCCTTGACAGTAATTCAACTGCAGCTTTTTTAGCTAAAGAGCTGGTAGGTATCAGAAGATTTGTTGTTGCATGATTGAAGCAATACCTAATTGGGGCTCAGTTGCAGTTGCAAATTTTCTGTATATCTCGGATTAAAGTTTTCTCTCCATTTTAAATGAGAATATCCAATAGAATAGTTTAATTCAAATCTCTGGTAATAATCAGGTAAAAAACATGTGTTTTTCCATCAAACTCCAATCTTTTCTGGACATTTGCGTTCTTGCACTAGATTGCTTGCTTAAAATTCTTGCTGAATCACGTGTTATGCTTCTTATCCCTCTCTTTCTTCTCATATAAGCTTTTTTGAATTCATTTTTCAGAACTTATAGAAACTGTCAATTAAATATTTTTTTTGAATTTATTTAAGTAATATGAACTTCCTCTGCTTTTTAGAGACATCAAGCCTGACAATTTACTGCTTGATCGTTATGGCCACATTAAACTCTCAGATTTTGGGTTGTGTAAACCCTTGGAGTCTAGTAGTTTCCCTAATCTCACTGAGCAAGAAAATGTAACGGGGAAGAATGTCAGATCTTCCATGGAAAATGATAATCAGTTTGGTTCACTCTCTGTATCAAAACGGACACAGCAAGAACAATTGTTACATTGGCAGAAGAACAGACGAACGTTGGTTTGTTCTTTCTCTCTCTCTCACTCACTCACAGTTTCATTTCTTTATATGGTGCAAAGTTGCAAGTTGGTTATGTATGTTATAAAATAAAATTCTGTTGGGTGATGGAAGCAACAACAAAATGCTCGACAAATTTTAAGGCAATATGTATCATTATTTTATACTTTGTGGAGATTTTGGGTGTTGACCATTTTCTTCATGGCCAGGATCTATTCTTATTCACAAGATTTTATTGTGTAATATCTGATTTACATTTCTGGTTATTGCAGGTTTTTGTAGCAATACAATTTGATTTCTGTTCAAAATTGTCGGCTAGGATGTTTTATTTATTATTATTTTTTTCTTTTTCTCCTGAACAAGAAACGAAACTTTTCAAACTTTTCATATGTAAAGAAACAAAAATTGTTCAAAGATACAAATTCTCGAAAGAGTAAATAAGAGAAAAAGAAAAAGAAAAAGGAAAAAAATGCAAAGAAGAAGAAATTCTACAATGGAGAAATGAAAGCACCCCAATTATTACAAATAAGGTTAGGAGATTAATTATTGCGAAGTTTGAACTTAGCTAGGATGCTTCTGTGTCTTAGAAATATAATGGCAAAAAGAAACACAACCGAAGTTTACTTGATCATGAGTCGATTGATTCACCCCAAGATCCTATACCCCCTAAGCTGATTAGGGACATAATTGTGGAAACATATAAGTTCCCCTGTGGGATCCTGTTAGTTTTGCTGTAATCATTTTCATTTTAGTTTAAACGAATATGCCATTTAATCCATGTGCTAATGTTTATAATTTTGTATGACTCTTCTCGTTCTACCTTTATATGTATGTGCATATGTGTGTCTTTTTAATTCAACAATTGTGGGGTAGGAAATCGAATCGATCTCGACCTTTGAGATGATAATAGCTACCTTGTCCATGGAGCTATGCTCGGATTGACAAGTGCATATATGTGTATAAGTTTCATAGTGGAGCAATTTTTATTATATTCTTTTCATTTTAGATAATGTGTTGCTTTTAGGCCTATTCAGCTGTTGGAACTCCAGACTATATTGCCCCAGAAGTGTTATTGAGGAAAGGATATGGAATGGAGTGTGACTGGTATATTTTTTTTTCTTGTGAAACATCTTTATAATATGATTCTATATCAAATTGTAACAAGTTTCTTTCAGGTGGTCCCTAGGCGCAATTATGTATGAAATGCTCGTGGGATTTCCACCTTTCTATTCTGATGATCCGATGTCTACATGTAGGAAGGTAAAGAGAAAGTGACTGTAAATAGGCATACAGATTTCTTACTACTTGTCTGGATTCGGTACTGAAAAATGGTTTAAATACATGTTCTGTATGGTCTTATTTTTTTCCAGATCCTCAAGGTTAAAATATTTCGGGGTTATGGAATGAATAATGGTACTGCTAACTGCTGATTTAAGTACATTATCCAACAAATGGTTGTTATGCTCTGCAGATTATTAACTGGAGAACGCATCTGAGATTCCCATCGGAAGCAAAGCTTTCTATTGAGGCTAAAGATCTTATTTGCAAACTTCTATGCAATGTCGAGCAAAGAATTGGAACCAAAGGAGCAAAAGAAATTAAGGTTAGCATATAAATACCTTACTCTTTTCAATTTATTCATTTCATTGAATATATGGCTCAACAAGCGTCTTTTGTTAGGCGCACCCATGGTTTAAAGGTATACAATGGGATAAATTATATCAAATGGAAGCTGTCATCACCCCGGAGATCCATGATGAGTTAGATACTCAAAATTTTGAGAAGTTTGAAGAGGTATAAACATTGTCATTTTTCTTTTGTACACATGCCAATTATAATTTCCTTGACTAAACTATCTGTATGACAATCGCATAATTTTTAGCAAGTAGTCAAATATGTGATATATATCAAAACAGTTATCTTGTTATATGTTTACATTTTATGTTCCAAATTTTTTTCCTTCCTTCAGTGTTATGATGATGTAATTTAAATTGTTGTCTAAACAATATAAATAACAATTATTTGAAATGAAGATTTTCACATGCTATATGGACATCTATAAGAATAGATATCTTGCGATCAACTGGTTTGTTGTGCACATAATTTTTATGTAAAAACTTAAAAAGAACACAGCTCTTCAAAATCGTTATAGAATTCTGCTTGCTGGGAGGTTGAGACTAGTGACTCAAATTTCATGGGAATCGGATTCAGGATCCATCCTGAATATCTGACGACCTTTGGGCCCTTCTAATTAAGAGTAAAACTTGAATTGACTTGATATTTCCATAAAAGGTTACCTTTGTTTTGACTGTTCAACAATTGGAAAATGGTCGTTTTTTCCATATGATCAAGGCTACTCGAGTTACCTTTAGTATTTATGGTTTTTTAGAAGAATTATATTTTAGCATTAATTTTATATTATTCATCGAATTGTGGATTCTTGTATTACGCAGCTGGGTGTGCCAGGTCAAACTGCATCAAAATCGGGTTCTGGGAGAAAGGCAAGTCTGTGATTTGTTGCTCCGCAAAGCTATTAACTCTTCCGTTTTACTTATTGCATTATTGATCTGGTATGTTGCTGGCTGTTGTAGTCTCGACGTGTTGAAAATGAGAAAATCTTAACATATTTAATTGTTTAGTTGAAGTGTCTCAAGTTTCTTTTGCATTTGTCACTAATTCTAAAAAGGTTGTAGGAATTTATCTGACGGGCATTATTAGCATGGAATTTAATTTCCATCGACATATTATTTCCATTAATATTTTCAAAATCTAATAATAGTAACAATGTCCTAGGAATGTTGATGAAATGTGATTCTTGTGAAAATTCATTTTCATCATCAATTATGTAAATTTGAGATTACCACGTTTTAATTGACATTGATGGTTACAAGCATAGTTATTCTTTCTTCCATGATCTATTTACGAAATTATATTTGCTTATGCGATCGCATTGTGGCGTTTCAATGGGCAAGGGTAATATTGGTTGGTAATTGGGGTTTTAGATTTATCTTCATCTAGCATTGCATGAAGTTAATAGTGTTGTTTAAGAATGATATTAAAAAATTGTTATGAAATTTAATTTGTTTATAATATAAAAAACCTAAACCACTCTAAGTTGCCCTAGTGGTTGGGGCCAACAAAAAGAATAAAGGGATTCGAGGAAATAGGTTCAAATCAGAGTGATCGCCTTGTAAATTTCCTTGGCAACCAAATATAATAGAGTCAAGAGGTTGTTCTGTGAGATTAGTTAAAGTGCATGAAAGGTATTCAGAGAACCTGTTTGATGAGTGATTTTTTTTCATGCTTTTATTTTAATGCTTGCTTCAGGATATTTATGTTGTCTTACTCTTAAACTGCGGCTATGGGATCTTATCACCACTGTTTCTTCTCAAACTTTTTTTTTTCTGTAGTGACTGATTTAAGCATTTGTTGTTCTGCAGATGCTTTCGCCCAAGGATGTGAACTTTGTTGGTTATACATACAAGAATTTTGAAATTGTTAACGAACACCACTTGTCTGGCATCAGTATGTCTCAACTTGCTTTTCATTAAATTTAGCCATTCAGTCAGAAATGAGTATAGAGCAGTCCCATGTTAGTAATATATCAGTACTGTTAATATTTATGTACAATTTTCTTCCTATCATTTTGACATGTATGGTTATGTTATTCTCTTTCATATGAACCATTATCCACCTGTGGAAGTTTCTTAAAACCCACAAAACCAACTAATAAATGCTTCAATCTTTACTTGCAGCTGAGATGAGGAAAAAGCCTAACAAGACCAAGAGACCATCTATTACGACTCTATTTGGTACATTCACCATTCTAAAATTTTCTGAATATATCAAATGCAGGGTTACCATAACATATTGTCATATTCTAACCTTCTCGCCTCTCTGTTCGACTATGATCTCTCTCCTTTCTTAGGCACAGCGGATTCTCCAGAGCAGCCCGGTGAAAGAGGTTTTCCAAATCATTTGTCGACCCATCTGGAAGTCTCAGAAAGCCCTGATCCATCACCTCGTTCAACTGGATCACTGCAACAGGCGAAGCGTTGGGGGAGATGAAGGTCGAGCCGAAAAGCTGCTCTTTGGCTAGCTGAAATGAGAGGTGGAATATGTTTTATAGTACGTCTGAAAGGGGTCAATAGAGTATGATATTGTATAAAATCTTGTAGATTCTGCAGTCTTTACTCACCATGACAGATTCTCACCGGCTCTTTAGCCCTCTTGTGAGTTATAAGTTTACAGGAAGTTAGGGTTCTTTTCTTCTTTTTAACCCTTACAGGGCAAAAAGGTTTCCAAAGCTTCTCACAGCCAGAATCCAGCAGAACAAAATCTGCATTTTCTTCAATTATTACTGAGATGTGGTATTACAATTATTATGGTTGCTGAATTATAGCACCAAACTTGACCAAACTATCCTCTTATCATATTCAATATGTTAGAGGAAACTACCAAAAAAAAAAAAAAAAATCAGAATCCATACGAAAATAGGCCAAATGATTAACTTTATCCTAACCAAAGTTATTGGATCAAGTGGGATATGGAAACAAGCAATGAAAGAGTAAGATTGATTGATCAGAATTTGTTACTTGTAATCATTGAACTGAAATGACATGGGAATAATTTTGTATAAAATTACCTTGTTAGTTACAACATCGTAAATTGGAATGGACTATAGAAAAGGAGTCAAAAAAATCTTAAGATCTCTTGTGATGGCAAAGAAGTGATGTAATAAAAGTTGAATCAAAAGTTGCATCTTTTGATATGTGAAAGATAAGATGAGAGAAGAAAATAAGGGCATGAAATCTAACATAATCCCTTGAAGGAAGGAAAAGCCTCGACATTTCTTCCCATGTCAAAGCAAAGTCATATGTATCAATAAGGGCTACGTGTCACTTAAGGGTATTCTTATGGACTTTGTATTATAACACTATTAAAAAGACATGTTTGATTGATTTGCCAAGTGAAAGGAGGATTTTCCATGCAGCGGAGAGGTGTATGATATATTGTTGACTTTACCGAGTGGTCAAATATAAGTGTGTTTTTTAATAATGCCGGTTTCGATAGTACTTCTGAGTAGATCTTTAAAACAACAGATGATATTTGCTTGTTTAATTGTCTTTATTTGCAGAATGAAGATGATCTTTGCTAGTTTAATTGTCTTTATCCACAGAATGAGGTCGATTCGTTAGGCATAAAAAATGTGTCTAAATAAAAAATAAATGAGGCAATACATCTATCTCTTTCCCTTAGGATCAAACATTCAAATCTTCATATTCAAGTTTAATATTCTAATTTAAAAAAAGTAAGTTTTGAATTCAAACACTATTAATGTTATGTTTGATTGATCTCTATTTCATATAGTAGTTCACATGTTAGGTCTAAGTGTTGTCGAGCCTACACGTAAAGGAGAATGTAATGGTTAGTTTATCATCAACACCAACAATAACGAAACCGACATTAACATACCAAAATCTCAATTTAAATATTCCTTGTAGTACCCAATTCACAAATTTTGACTATTTGAAAACCAAAACAATGGAATGTCATAATTCCTTCATTTACTATGCATTGGTGTTCCCTTCCAACAAGTCTTTAAAGTATACCTTCTTTTTGATCTACTCAAGAAAGTAGAAACAGTGTTCCCTTGTGGAGAAAATTAAAAGATCAAAAGAACAGTATATTTTATTCCAAGAGGAGAAATTTCAAATAAACAAACAAACCCAATTTCAAATTGAAGGTAAGAAAAAAGAAAATTAGGAATTAGAGGTTTGTCAACATCAAAAAACACCACTTTGCACCAATCCCTATATATCATGCAAAAAGCAAAAGAACTCTAAAGGCACCCATGCCAAACAAAAGAGAAGCACAATCAAAACATCATATAAATTATCTATGTTTATGGTTTGTGTATAATATATAAATACCTCTGTAGGTAGGGTTAGAAAATGCAAAAGCAAAAGGGGAGACAAGAACAAACCCCCAAGCAAGAAAAAAATAATAATAAAAGGAAAAAGTTAAAGCCAAAATTGGAGGAAGAGCTTAGCTTTGAGGAAAATGGTTCATGGGTTGGCCTCTAATGCCACTTGTCTGCACCCTATTGGTCTATTCTTTTTGTGTATCCAGCAGAGTCTATGACCCTTATAGCCCCAAGGCTGATTGAACACAACAAAACATGTTTGGTTGGTGAGGAGAGAACTTTGGGGTTTTGTTCATAGGATGATGACTATCTCCATTAAATGGGCAACTCTCTAATGGCCTCTCTTTTAAATTCAATTAATGGGGTTTTTTTCTTCTTCTTTTTTATTGCCTAATTTAATTGGGTTTGTTTTCTTTTGAGGGGTTGGGTTGACCAAACATGTTAAAGGGTGTAGGTTGAGATGGGGCATGTGGGTAATTGCACACCAAGTTGGGACCTTTTGAGGGTTGTGCCTGGCTAGCCTATAGGCCACAAAGTCTAAATTTGTGATATATATAATATGAATGAAATTTGTAAAATAAATTATAAAGAGTTGAAGATCTTTTTCCTTCAATCTTATGAGATGAGAACATTACGGTGATGGATAAAGTTCATTTGCTTGAGAACTTGATTTGAAGTGTCATGAATAGGTTGATTTTAAATCTTATGAGCTTGTAAGACGATCTATTAGTGAATCTGAATTTCCGCCTTAAATGGAGTTGAAATCCAAGACAAGAAAAATTTTCATTTTTATCTCTTTTAGGATATTGGAGAATAAATTTTCACCTCACGCCCCTACCCCAACCTCAATCCTAATTCTTCCTTAGAGAACTTGATTATGAATTATGTGATTCTTCGATCATGGCTCTTTTCGTTGAATCAAACTGAAAATAAATATATATATATATATAGAATCGAAGATAAGAAATAGTGAGTTCCTTCCTAAACTAAAGACTAAGACGTACACGTTATATCAAGTCATAAACTTGAGATCTCGCAACAACGCCCGTGAAAAAGAAAAAGATTCAATACTATATGAGTTGGGAATTGTAATAACATTTAGAACCATCAAGACATAATTATTAAGTGCATTTGTATATGTCAGATTTGCAACAATTTTTACTTTCCAAACTTACTTGCCCATGTAATTTTCAAAACTACAAAATAATTAATTTTCTCTAATAAAATTTAATCTCTATATTGTTGCTAATGTTTTGTTGGATAGAGACACACTGTGGTTGGCTAACTCATTGTATTAATTTTGACTAAGCTCATCATCTTTGCCTAAAAAAGAATGCTAAACTAAAAGTCTAAAAGTGAGGAAGACAAGATAATAACCTTACACTGAGTTAGTGCTTGCCAAACACCATTTGTTGCCTAAGCTAATACTTGTGCTTGAATTGACTAAACTTTGCTAGAGAGCTCTTAAATTGCACCTCAAAAAGTGGTCAATTAGGCCCCTTTATTTATAGAAGCAACATTATAATTACCTCCACTCTTCTTAGGTTGGTTAGATTACCTAAGTGTCTCTCCACACATGTCCTATTTGTTCGCATTTAGCTAATTAAGTTCATTTGGAATTCGAATTTGACACCTAGTAGCTTCAAAATACTTTTATTAGAGCGAAAACTATCTTTATAGACCAACACGGATCGTTTTAGCATATTTTGTTCTCACTCACATGCTTCCTAAGAAAATCTCACAGAGAGGTAAACTTTAGAGTTCTTACTATTGATCCACTGAATAGAAATGTAGTTTTTAAAATTTTTTTAACCATGCTTGCATGATCTCATAATCCTCTTTTATTTGGATGTGATGTCGATTCATTCATCTATATATTAATAAAGGTTCAAATTATTTTAATCAAATTGAAAAAAGAACACGATATCTTGCAATCCACGAAATAGGATTGAGAGACATATTGAATTACACATATGATCTCAAGTCTCCTTGAATAATTTCCCTTGAACAACTTTCCAAGTAATCCAAAACCACTGATATGTATGGTCTTCACTTGAACATTGAAAATCAATACATATATTATTCTTCGCAAGACCAATCACAATCACATATATACTTATAAACAACAGCTCCTTCCACTATTTTCCTTTCCCAAGAAATTAAGAACAACCCAAAATTGATGATGTGAAAATTAACCAATACCCAGAAATGTAAATGGCTATATGATGATCAATGTTATGAAAACCATCCCAAGGAAACAGTTGATATCAAACATCAAACAGTTAATCCTGGATTTTGTTGTCTTCATCTCATTAGAAAAGAAATCTCAAATGTGGCGATCATATATTCACCAAAATATCCACTCCATTAAATTTGGTCGGATTGGGACATGACTTGTGTTCTTGCATGTTTCGTTCCATATTACTTCAGTCAACCTCATTCCATGTTTCTTATTTGATTTCATCTCTTAATCTCCATTTCATCTTCTGGAAAGAAAAAACTACACACAGAGAGAGATTCAATGGAAAATCAGAAAGTGAATGAGGGGTGGAGAGTAGGTGTAGGTGTTTAAAAAAATAAAATAAAAAAACTTGCACAGTTGAGGGGGACTGCTACTATGTTTGGCGGACAAGAAAATAAAATTTGGGGACCCAATGCCAACACCAAGACAGATGCCTTCTGAGATCAAATATTTAATTTGGAGTTTTCAAGAAACGTTTCCTAATTTTTAAGAAGTATAAATATTTGATAATTGTTTTGGTTACTTTTCTCCTTTCTTATGTTTTAAGAAATATTCCTAAAATTGTTTAGAAATTTTAAAAACAACCGAATCAACTTTCTCTTGTTTTTTTTTTTTATATAATTGAAAGTCGGTGCTTTGTTCCCCTATATTCGGGGTACCCGTGCCTACCACTAGATTCGGACTCAAGAGACATTAAAGGTTCTGAGTATTAAGGAAGATTCAAACTTGAGATCTCCAAACCAATATGACAAAAAGACCTTAAGGCCTTACTAACTAGGTTCCTCCTTAAAGGCAATATAGATAAAAATATTATTTTACACTTTTACTTAAAAATGCATATAATAAATATTAAAAAAAATAAATATGAGATAAAAATTTTGAACTTTCATATTCTTTTTTTTTTTTTTACATTTTTTTAAAAATTTTAGAAAATAAAAATAAGAAATGGTTATCTATTTTTTCAATAAAAGAAAAATAGGAAAAATAAGAAACAGCTGCCCAACATAATTATTTTATTTTCGTTGATTGTGGAGGAAGAAACGAAATACAAAAATAAAAAGTAGAAACATTAGCTAGGGATAACATTGTCTAATTTCACATGCATTCCCACAAAATTTATGAAATGAAAAATATTTAACCTACACAGATTAGCAAGAATTCTTATTAATTTTCTGGCATATTTTTATCAGCAGAAAACACTTATATAAATGCAATAATAATATCCCACATCATAAAATCGAACTCTAGTATTGTTGATATGAAATTATGGGGATTAAATAAGAGAGTACGGCTTTGTCTTCTAACAGATATATTTTCCAATTAAAGCACAACTGTATTTCAACAATTGTTTATTAATGAAAGATCATATAATAATCCATCCCAAATAAATAATTAAAGAAAATCAACCGGAAACATTGATAAATATAGATTTTTTTTTCTTTTAAATAAATGTAATGGACCCCTACTTTCCACTTAAATTTTTATATTTTTTGTGTAGACTAGTAGCCCATATACAGACAAAACTCATCTTCTTTTATTTTAATTATTAATGCAAATTACGAACTGTGTTTGGAATTAGGTTATATTATTCTTAAATTTTGAGATCCATACAAAAATTAATAATGACCAAAAAGTTTTTAATTTTTTTTTTTTGAAAATACCACAAAAATTTTAATGTACTCAACTCTCAAAATTATTTAACATATCAAAGATCTCGAGATATTTTTTAATGAAAATTTTTGTTAGAAGAATATCCAATAATTTCATCATATACCACGTAGGAAAATAACATTTCCTAGTATGAAAAGTACTTGATATAAATATGAAGCAAAAAGTAGTTAATATTTATTCTCTAGTTTTTTTCTTGGAAAATAAAAACACCATAAACCATTCAAAGTTTCAAATTAATCAACATTATTTTCATTATATCATGGAAAAATTGACCGGATGTAAAGATATATCAATAAAAATATACTGATCTGATATAATATTAATAATATTAATTTTTTTTTGAAGAGAGGAACATCGCTCATTAAAAAAAATGCATTTTGTGGATCAAGAGGAAACCGCCGTTCTTATGTCATTCCACAGAGTGGTCGTAGGTTTATGCTTTTGTGAAAAGATAGATGGTTGAGATCACCTCAATATTTATTAGTTAATTTAATATATTTTATAAAAATTTTTATTTTTATGATTTTTTCAAAAAAATATCTATCAAAGTCAATATTTATTAACATTTCCCTAAAATTGAGAGCTCAATTTTTTTATTGGAATCCATATTTAAAACTTTGTATATATGGTTGATTTATAATTCAAAGTAGGAGACGTGTCACAAGCCAGCAAAGCAAAACTTTGTATATATGGAAATTAAATAATTTGAAACAACTTGATAAGTTTGCAGGGCATTATTATTATATAATTTCTTTTTGGAAAAACAAATCCTAATCCGATCGTGATGCCAATAATTAGCAGTGAAAGTTGGCAATTTAATTGGCATTTATTTATGAGGGAAGGGAATTTTTAAAATAATAATAAATGGGAAAACCATATGCTAATATTTATTATATTAATGTGAAGGAGCTTGAATCACATGGCAATTTGAATATGGTANAAACCTTCATAAATTCTTTGTTAAGAGAATCCCCACTTCTATTTTGTTCTGTTCTTAGTTGTCTTTGGCATTCGTCATGTTAGAACGTGGAAGGCAACTGTTTTTTGTATGAAATATATATTAATATGCTTTTAGATGATTGATTTAACATGATTCTAAATTAAAACTTCCTAACCATATTTTCTCCTTATTTCATATTCTTATCCTAATGTGTATATAAATTTAGGATTTTAGATTTAATAGTGATTTAAATTTTAAATGTATATATGAACTTATACCAACTGAAATATAGCTCAACGAGTTCAGGTACCTATATGCAACCAAAATTTCGTGAGTTTGAATCTTCATCTTCACATATTATACTAAAAAAACATGATTATTATAAAAAAATTACTTGTACCTAATATTTGGTTAATTAACTATTGACACACACTGATGAACTTGGTAACTGAAGAGTACACTTGAATCCGTAGTTAGTATATTTAACTTAGAATATTCTAAGTTAAATGATCTCAATTTTCTTGCCTAAAAATGAGAATAAAACATGGTTGAAAAAGGTACATATGTATTGTTATAGTGAGGAAAGTCCATGCTTTAGCTGGAAACTCACCAGGGAAATATCAGGAGAAGCAAAATTTAGATTCATATTTCAATCTAAATCGTGTTGCATAAAAGTTAATTTTTCTTAGGACACAAAGAGGATTCTATCGACACTTTGGTTTTGGTATTATCCAAAAAGACCTCAATAGAGAGATATCGTCCCTAACTTTGCCATGAAGTTAAATTCTTCCCCTCTAGTTAATGTGAGACTTTGATTGTAATTCTCAACAATATTTCATTTTAAAATTGTGGCATGGTTTGAGTGAGCGTCTACATGGAAATGGCGACCAGAAAGAAAGAAGGGAATATAATTTTGTAAGATTGATTAATGGTTGTGGTATTTAAAGATAAAATTGTGTGTAAGAAGCATGTCATGTGCCCAAAATCAAATAGAAAGAAAGAAAAGAAAGTGTCTCAAAAATGCTTGAGTATTCATCTCATAACATAGCAATACCCTTTTGAAAAATTGTTCCAATTAAAGACATCAACAGAAACAACTCTCTCTCTCTCTCTCACACATGATGATGAGAGATGAGAGATGAGAGATGAGAGATGAGAGATGAGAGATTCTCAAAATGTCTCATCAAACAATAGAGGTTGTGTGATTCCATAAATGATGATTGGCACTTTGAAAACTTCATTCTCCCAAATGCCAAACAAAACCCAATTTCTCTCTCCAACCAAAACCCATCTCACTTTTAGGGAGAGAGAGTCTTCTTTTTAGGGAAAAATCCATTGTAATGTCCAATCATGTGTGTTCTTATTATTACAATAATATATACAAAGAAAATACTTATATCTTAATTAATTGTTTAATATATATCCTGCTCAGATCGTTAAATTGTTGACAAATAAGAGAGAAATACAATAGATCTTTCTTTTTTTAAATAATAAGCTGTCAATTTTTTTAATGGTGGTCAACATAAAGATAGGCGATGACAACACAATTTTAAATATATTATTATTATTATTATTAGAAAAAAGAAAAAAAAAACATAGTAGTACACACACTGGTCTCCACCCCATAAAATTTAAAAATAAAAAAAATAAAACCAGCCTTGCCAAATCTTGTCTCACCCTTTTACAACTAAAAACCAACCCTAATTCCTTATCACTCTCTCTTTATTAGAATTAATTAATTAATTAGTGTCTTAATTACTCTCTTTTCTATTTGTCCTTAACCCACCCGACATTTTAGTTTACATGTCTCATTCTCCAAACAATCACCTTTTACAGACCCTAATTATTTATGTAAATTAGACAATATATATTCTGCCGCAACACTCCTTAATTCTAATTAATTTACTTACTACATATGTTATTTAATAATCTCATGTATTTTCAACATATTAAGTATGCAAAGTCCATCTTTTTATTTTTAATTAAAAGTCGTTGTGGGTAGTGGGAAAAATTAAGGTGGCTACTGAAATAGTTCGAATGCAAAGGGATGCAGTAGTTTGTACTACTACTACTACTCTCCTTCCCCAAATTTTCAAAATCTATGTCCATAGGATATAGATTTCAATCCACATATCTACGACAATACTTAATGAAATAACCATTATCGATCCACTTTTATTAAATATAGTTACGACACATATGTCTCGATCTCTTTATTTTTCGATAAGGTTGAATTCGATCTATGAGTTTAATATCAATTGTATGTTTGATGATTTAATTACAAAATTATTAATGATATTTCTAATATAATTCCTTGTGAACTATTGGCCTATAAAGTACTTGTGTTTAGCTAGGGTTGTTTCAAAAATTGTCCCATTCTAGATCTAATTAAATTTGAAAAGTGAATGGTATTACGTATGACATTGATATTATTTTGTGTTTGAAGAATTATTCTTCAAAATATAAAATTATTAAATATTCGTGTATTTTATGTTAACTAATTTGACATCTATGCATCCTTTCCTTGCTTAAATATGCAAGTGAAACATAATGAACAATATTATACAGTAATTATGTTTTACAATTAATTCAGAAAAGATCCCTTTGGATATGTTTTAAATATGTCACATTATTCTTTCTTCCCTTTTAGCGGAATATTTATTTATTAAATATTAAAATTTAGAGTAAGATTAATTATATTGGAGTTTTGATCGAATTTTTAACAAAGGGATGATTCTATCTAAAAAAATTAACAAATTTTTTCTTCTAATTTTGGTAAAATATAATTAAATAAATGGTTCAATACTATTTTGACATTCGGCACTTTCCATCCATTTTTGTTCATTTTAATTATTGTACCTTTTTAAGGTCTATTTTGATCCCATTAAATTTCATATTGGGGTTAAGTCCATTACTTAACTATATAATATAAGTGCACATATGAAAATGTGAGAACCTTTTGATGATATATGTCAATTATCGATGAGTTATATTCTAACTAAAAATAATTCAAATGGGAAGAGCAAATTTAGGTTTAAAATATATATCAATTGCCACCGTTCAAAATTGCCGAAGGACACAAAACGAATCGTTTTACGAGGATTGTGGCTGTAATTGGCTTTGCCTCTATTTGGTCTTTTACCTTTTTAACCTTCCCATCACAACATCACTTTGTTATCAAAAAACCCACTTTTTTTTTCCTTCGTTTGAAAGCTCTCAACTTTAATTAACCCTTTGCGTGTAAGATAGAAGAGAGATTAAAAAAAGTTTAAATCACCCCTAATTAAAAAATAGGGAAACTTGACTCTGTGTGATGCTAGTTAATAAGTCCACGCGCAGCTGAATTTTCTGTAATTAAATAATGAGATGCTTTTATTTGATCAAAATTATGGATTAATGAAAAAGATGTAATAATTGAAGTAGATTTTACTGATTTAATATCATTAACCATCATAAGAACACAAAAAAAAAAAAAGACAAAATATATTGTGTTTGTGTCACACGTCCTTTAGTTAACTATCAACCTCCTTTTCTTTTTCCCTCCTCTCTCTCTCTCTCTCGTTGGTTTATGTAGAACAGAAGAATCAGCTATATAATTTGTGTTCAAAGTCAGCGACTTTCTCTCTTTTCTCTCTCTCTTTTTCTTTAAACCTTCAGCTCTGAATCAGTTTTTGTTTGTTTTAGAGAAGAAAAATGCCCTTTTAGAGCCAGTTTTTTTTCTGTGCGCCTTTTTGTGCTTGAACTTCAACAAAGACTCCTCAGAATAATGCCTTCTTGGATTGGTTGAATTAGTTATGTGCAGCAGCTTATTGGGTGTTTGGAAATGGAGAATTACCAAGGAGATTTGACTGATATTGTGAGAGGCAGCTCCAGTAGTGCCACTTATGGCTGCAAAATTGAAGACCCTTTTGGTTTTTCATCAGCCGAGTGGCAATTTCACCCATCCATGAGTAATTTGGATCAGCTGGAACAACAACCAACATCGCAACAACATCAATACAGCAGCTTTGGAGATCCATTTTGTGCAGCTGCCATGAGAGATCCACTCCTTCACGAGCTCGATATGTGTGGCTCTTCTTCTTCTCCTTCAGCGGCTTCTAATTCTTCCACTACTTGTACCTTTTTCAATGGCGGCCATGATCAAGATCATGATCATCACCTTGTAATCAAAACCCCACCTTCTTCTTCCAATAATACTAATATTTTCTCACGTATGCTTCAGATCTCTCCTTCCACAAATAAGTTCCCCATTTCTTCTCCTCATTCTTCCCCTTTGTTTCCCAATTCCACCTCCTCCACACCCTTAATTAATGCTAATTCTTCTGAGTTTCATCATTTCCTCGACAACACCGCCGTTCAGATCTCTTCTCCCCGGAATCCCACCGGTATCAAGCGAAGGTACCTACAATATCTGCTATCCTTTTACTTCTCGTTTTTAGATTTTGGGGTGAAGATTTGAAGCTTCGACTAAACTTAAAAAATTGCTTTTGAATTGGAGCCCAAGATAAAGTTTATTAATTTTTTGTTTTTTAAAAAGTAGGGTTTAATTTTAAGTTTGGTGATCATCAAGTGAGATTGCAGAGTGTGGAGACTTGAGAATAATTTAGATGGTGATGGGAAATTTAGAGGGGGTTATAATCAAGCCTAAAAAGGTGGGGGGTTTTTGGCTTTCATTGTATAGTTGTTATCACAAGGCAACTTTTTGTTTCTTCCCAAAACCCACCTGAATTGATAACTGTGTTGGAATTGTATTGTATAAGCTCTTCTTTTTTTTTTCCTTCCTTTTTTCTGTGTGGTATGCAGTGTCCCTTTCAGTTGCTTCTCTTACACAAATATACATCACAATCCCCAAAATAATAGCTCTATCTGGGAAAAAGTGGTTGGGGGAATATATGTATAGACAGTTTACAATTCAACATTTTTTGAGATGATAGGAATTTGTGAGGGTTGTTTTGTTTATAGATATGTATGGTGTTGTGTTTGTGTGTTTAATTAGGAAGAGCCAGGCAAGGAAGGTGGTTTGTGTTCCTGCACCAGTGGCTGCCAGCAGTAGGCCTAATGGAGAAGTTATTCCTTCTGATCTCTGGGCTTGGAGGAAATATGGTCAGAAACCCATTAAAGGTTCTCCCTATCCTAGGTATATAAACTTTTTTTTTTCCTACCATTATTGATTATCAATCAGAAAACTTGGTTTGATTTTGATGGATGAAATTATTGTTTGTTAGGCTGACAATTGTGTGTTTTTGAGTTGTTTTTTCCTTCACAACTTTTGGGGGTGCTTTTGCAGTTCTTATGTAGCAACCAAAATTTACCCTAATTTTAACTTAACCTTATTTTTTCCCCCCTTTTCACTGTTAGTTTATGTTGATTCTTGATTTATCAGAGTTGGGTTTTGTTTATTTTTCTTGCATTTCAGTGGTCTCACTTGTGGATTTGGGATTTCTTCTGAGTTTCATCTTTTTGACCAATTATATCTCAATCCTAAATTGGTCATAGTTATTAATATTCATGGTGTTCCATGAAAGAACCAATTGCCAATGATAGATGTAGTCCACCTATATTATTATAAATCTTTATTAGGTCTCTTTTTTCAACGTGAGATCTTATAATACTGATCATGCATATATAACAAATCACTAATCACTGTTAGCAAACCAAAGAGTTTTAAGCTTTAATTAGGTCAAGATTAGTACAGTTATTAAGAGCCATAACACAATGTTGAGGAAAAAGAAAATAGTTGGTCTTTCCAAAATAGTCTTTTTCTCTCCTCAAACTAAGAAACTCAAAGTGTGTATTTCTTTTGGCTCAAAAAATTTTAGAAAACTTAGATTAGACTATTAGCGTATAGGTATATACAGAGTGAGAATTCGAACTTATATAATTAGAGAGACGTATAATAGTTGTCTTTATCGGCTGAGTTATACTGGTGTTAACTAGTAATTTCGTTTTGAATATCCCAAAGATTTTACAGCAGTAATGATGTTCCCAAATTATGAAAATTAATTTTTGTGAAACCATTATTATTCCTCCAGGGGATACTACAGATGCAGCAGCTCAAAGGGTTGCTCAGCCAGAAAACAAGTGGAGAGAAGCCGAACAGATCCCAATATGCTGGTCATTACCTACACATCAGAGCACAACCATCCATGGCCGACCCAAAGAAACGCCCTGGCCGGCTCTTCCCGCTCCCAACAATCAAAAAGCAGCGCACCAAATTCAAAACTCAACCCCCAAAACCCAACCCCAGATCAGCCTGCTGACACCAACAAAACCCAAGTATTTGGTGCACCAACAAATGTCAAGGAAGAGGCAATTGATCATCAGGAGATCATTCAAGCAGAAGACAATGGAGATTTCAGCGAAGGGTTTCAATACATGCCCACCAATAACAATAACAACAATCAAAGTGATGATTTTTTTGCGGATTTGGAAGAGTTGGATACCGACCCTTTAAACCTCTTGTTCAGCACTGGAGGAGATGATGATGGGCAGCAAAAAGAAGCCAAATTTGGTCTATTTGATTGGGCAGCGGAAAACAACAACAACAACGCCAATTCCACATCGTTTGAGGAAGCAGCTGCTGGAAAGAGAGGTTTTTATTAACCAGAAGAAGAAGATGATGATCATATATTTGACTTTTTTTTTTCCTAAGTAAATTATATGTCTGGGGTGCATTTTTCTACAGTACAAAAAATTTCAAAAAAAAAAAAAAGGAACTTTATATACCAGTTCACACGTGATTTATTAATCATGGTTGGGGTATTGGATTGAAAGAATAAAACAAAATTAAACTCGCTGACCGACCCCTTTTGATTCAATTTAATTCAATCCACTGGGTACATGTAAATGTATGTATAAACTACCTAGAATATGAAAATTTTTGTAATGTATATGATGATGCTGTTGTTGGCTTGAAATGGGAATGAGAGTAAAAAAATTGAATTGAATTCAGTTTTTTGGAATAATAATAATAATAATATTGGTGTGGGATGGGACAGAAAGCTGAGGAACAGAAGGTTTGAACAGTTAAAACAAGTACATGAATCGGAGACATGATTGGAAAGCTCAGTGAGGGAATTGGTATAATGATGGGACTGCCCCTTAACATCTTTTGAAGTGGGATAAATTATTCAATCCCCCGTATCATCATGTGGCCCGACTCTTCACTCTTCTATCTATGCACCTTAAAACTATTTTCTTTTTCTTTTTTTCCATTTTTCATATTTGGGACAAAGAAAGGGAAAAAAAACACCACCTAAAGGTTGAATTTTCTTATCAGTCTTATCAGATGGATGTGAAAAAGAGTGTTAAGAGAAAGGAAGCATGCCTCGGCTTTGTGTTGTGTTTTGATTTGGATATCAGTGTATCAGATTTTTGTGTTTATTGGATGAGTTACGTTGTTAATAATATTATAATTTGGCGTAGTTTATAAGCTTAATATATTAAATACATTTATGTAGTTTTTACTGATCATTTATATGCCATTGATCTCAAAAGTTTTGGGGAATGCATCATCTTGCATGCGGAAGAAAAAAAGCCATTACTTTCAGCAACAAGATGCCACGTCGTCTCAGCTTCTCAGTCTTCCCCTCCCATTTGACAGCCTAGTGCTAACTCATAAATTATAGTATAATTAATAACAAAATGACGTCTATATGATCGCTCTGGTTCGATCTTTTGTATATTTTGTTAAACATGAATAAATCACCATCATAATCAAGTGGAGCTCATACCATAACAATAATTATGAGGTTCGATCTCATTCGCCATGAGATAGCCTACTTATATTATAAACTCTTGTCATGTCAATTTTCTTTTAAAGGTAAGGTTCTTAATTAACATATATGTTGTTACGTAGTATCGGAGCAAGACTTCTTATAACTGAACCTCTATATGTCATTCCTTCCCAATTAATATCAATACTTGGTCATTTGTTATCATAAGATATCTATAAAAGATTAAATTTACCGTAATTTCAATAGCTTGTTAAGCTTTTGGGTTTGATTGATGATTTAACCTTGTTATTTTATGATGAAAAGCTTTAAATTTTACCATAATGTATCAACTTAATTTTTTAGTTCAATGGTGATTTAACTGATGAGATTAGATTATCAGTGGCACACTGACATCACATATGAACAGAATCAAACCTTCTTTCATAGTAGCTTTAGTAATAGTAATCTCTTTTTGGATTAGGAGGGTTGAGATTTAGAAGCATGATATGATGAGCAAATGAGCATGCTTACCTCTACTTTTAACTATATATGTAAACTGTTGACCCCAACTTTTTTGTTTCTTTCAGAGATTAAAAGTCACCATTCAGAATAACTGAATCATTAGTACTATAATGAAATATATTAAGAAAGTTTCCTCCCTCTGAACTATTAACTTGCTTTCTTACAGAAGTGAATATGGATTTATGAGGTGTTTAAAGAAACATAAACAAATAATAATTAAGAAGGGAAAGGAAAGGAGGGAGAGTGGGTGGGACATTTTTTGGCTTTGGGATTCAAAGCGAATCCTCTTTTCATCATTGTCAGATATCATATTTGTTTGAAACATTTGTAACTGTATGCTTATGATTCTGGTCCATTTGAAGCAATTTTTTTAACTTTAGGTTACATATTGGGGGGAATAGTGACACTAAGATTAGTCAAATCCATCAAACTTAGTGAAAAAAATTCACTCTCTTCCAATCAAAGTCACTTCAAGGGTGTGGGAGAAGAGAATAAATAATGATACAATTTGAAAGAAAAATGGATCCCAAGAAAAGGTGCAATATATTTTTAAAGTTCACTTTGTTATTTGTTTTTGGTTTGTGTTGATTGATGGGATTTAGAGGCATTATGGGTTATGGATGAAAATGGGTGTGCAAGTAGGATGATGGGAGTGACTGTTCCCATGATTTGAAAAGATTGAAATGGAGTTTACTGATAGAGTGATGACAAATCCATATAAAGCTTTATTGACCAATTACCATTTACCCTTTTTCAAAATATTGCAATTCTCTCTTTAATGCCACACCCATGCATCTTTTGAGTGAGTCTTTATTTTTTATCTCAAAACCCTAATCATCAAATGTTCCAAACCCATTTTTCTAATAGTTCTTTTTTGATATCTGTGAGTGTCCTGACCAGCTTACACGCATTTCGACTAATTTCACGGGACAACCGTCCGATCCTACGACATTTGATGTCGGAAAACACATACGAATCACTAATTTCTAAGGTAGGCGACCATTATGGGTTTGAACCCATTCTCTCTTAATTAACTCTAGTCCATTTTGACTAATATACCACCCATGATGGTTTAATAAAGAAAAGTTATTTGGACATTATTCTTTTGAAATAGGTTAAAATCTATCTGTATAAATTAAAGTTGATATATTATTAAATTATGTTTTGTTAACCTATTTGGATACGTGAAACATGCCATTTGGAAGAAATAAATTTTGTTTAACATTCACCAACATGAAGGATGATATATAATTGAAATTTAAAGGAAAACTTAAGTCACATAGAGGAAAATATTTCCAAACTTTTTTCATCTAAATTTCTTCGACCAACTCATCAAGTATAATGTTATGTAAGCTTATCAACGGTGAAGTTTAACATTTACTAACATGAAGAATATAATTGAAAATTGTGTTAAAACATAATTAAGAAAACTTAATTGAAATTTGTCAACGAGAGAGACTATTGAAAAACATGAAAACATTAGAGACTTAAACACATATTTAACCCAATAATTAACATATAAAAAGTAACCTTTGGTGCCCAAAGACAGATATAGCTGCTCTTGCAATATTAAAGTAATTTCTATTTAAGATTTAGAATTGTTTTGTACCCAACTTTAACTTTGTAAATTAGAAAGAACTTCTTGACTTCAAATAACATTCTCTGCTCTCTCTAAATAGTATTTTTGGATTGAAAGTAATGAATGCCTTGGGTGAAAAATAGGTCATTTATTTGTGTTCAACTACATACTGATTCATTAGGTTGAATAATCTACTGAAAGATAGAGATTCAATTTTCTTTTTGGAGTGTTCAAATTTCTTGATTTCAATCTTGAAAAGAAAAGATTGCTTTTTAGTTACTTCTATTAGTTTCCATGAGCTTGGGGGTGGGATTAATTAATTATAGTTTAAGGAGGAAGAATTAAGAAAACAAGGTTTTACTTTCATTATAACCCTAATAATTAAATGTGCACACATGAAACATCAATTGATTTATAGATTAAAGTTAGTGAGCCCCCACCAAAATGAACAGCCTAATTTGTCAAAAGGCAAATGGATATGTAGCCCTAGTTGGGACAATATATATAATTAAATTCACTTTCATCTTATCTTAAATATTAGTATATTATTCAAGTGGGTCCTAAACTTTAATTATTAGTCACATCAATCTCAATTACCATCTTAATTAATTAATTAATTAAACACACATTATACTAGAAACACACGTGTAGTGGGGAACTCCCTCATTTTGACTGCAAAACTAATTAATTACTTTCACACGCAACCAAAATTCACTTTTACTATCCTTACTTTTAGAGAAAAGGTAATATGAAGTGAGAAATAGTTAGTTAAAAAATACCTCGTCAACGTAAAAGAACATGAAACTCAAACATCTCGATTGAGAGTTGGGAAATATCCTCCTTTTTAATGATATTATTTTAAAAAGATACACATATGTTATCCAATGTCCATATACACATTAAAATTTGTAATTAGTTAGGTTATGGTGACGTTAGAGAGAAGGAGATTATTAGTGGAAGTTGAAATGACACGATTGGGGAGCGATCCCATCCCCCATTGATATTCATATTGAGAAATTGGTGAAAGATGAGGCTGGGGAGTTGAGGGTTTCTGTAGATTGAATTGTTGTTGAAGGACAAAAAGATTGATGTGGTCACCAATGTCTCCTCCCCTCTCCTAATCAAGAACAACAACTGCACAATTCTTTTCATATTCTTTGTTTGCATTTAACTTGGCCCACCAAAAATAGGCCCAGCCTTTTATAGTTAAAATGGGCCTGTCAGGCTGGGCTGGGCCTGTCTACCACTCAAAAGCCCAACATGTTTTCCACTGGGCTCTTATATTTTACAAATGGGAGTGGGTCCGTTCTTTACCTTGCCCAACATGTATTTAATTACCTCAATCCACCTATTAGGAGCGAAATTACCATACAAGATTCACATGATGAATTAAATTTAAAGAAGTAAAATGGATCGAGCCACCTTGGCATAACTATTCGGATTGCACCATCCGTCCAACTAAACCAAACTCGAACATATTGAATTCTGTTGAATTGGTCCATCCGAACCAAGTTAAAGAGACTCTCTCTATAAATAAGAGAAAGATACATAGGATGAGCTACACTCTTATAACTTACTTTTGCTACTCTGAATAAAACTTTTTAGAGTGTATTGGGCTATACATATTTATGGTACGTGCAAGTATTCTCACTCGAGCTATTAACACTAGATGTCATGTCTAAAATATTCCAAAGTCACTACAACCTCGTGACCTAACTCAAGAAGGTAGAACTTGAAATATTCATTTTTCTAGGAGGTTAATTAAAAGGGTAAATATAAATACCTAGACCATGAAGAAAAGATACTTCTTAAAAAAAAAAAGAAAAAGAAAAAAATTTAACAGAGTTCTGTACCGAAAAATATATATATATTGATCAGAGTTCAATGGGTTAAAACATAAACAGTTAGATTATGGTAATTAGAAACAGTATCCAATTTGTTTCACTAATCGCTTTCCACTTTCCTGAAGTGTGGAGGAAAGGAAACTGAGTCGAGCTGCTACAAAGGGAAGGGCGGGAGTTTGGGGACGGCGGC